TTATTTTCCTGTGATTTTTAAATCTTTTATTAACTTAGAGGAGAATCCAAGATTTACAATTAAGCAGATGAGTATTCTTATGTGGGACTTATTTCATAACCTTAATCAGAAGACAACCTATTATGCTGGTTATTGTTGTATGTATTCTCACATTGAATTAGTTATTAATGAGTTCTATCACCTTTATTGTATTTTTTGTGATACACAATATTTGAGAGTGTTATTCTCTTTACCATCTTCATTCTGTTTAATGGTTACAAGGTACCCAATGTTTAAGAAACCTATTATACAGTCATTGAGAACAGATTTAGTATTAGATGATCAATTTATTAAGTTCATAGAACATTTAGCAGAATTTGATTCTAATGTTTTTATTAAGGAAATTCTTGGTGATATTTTCATTTTACTTAACAGTAACAATCCTATAGTGAGGAAGAATGTTATGAAGATTCTTACTAAGTTTTCAGGTAGACATATTGAGATATTAAATCCTAAATTAAATGAGGGTAATCGTTCTCCTTATGAAGATATGTATGAGAATTTTGTTGAAATGCTTATTGGATTAAGACCTATTACTGTTAAAGATTCTACTTTTAATATCAAATCAAAATTTACTGTTAAATGTAATATTAATGATAGGTTTAATATAACATTAGTTAATTATGGAACAATGGTTGATAGTAATATTGATAAGAACCATGTGAGAGATTGTTTAATGGATTATTTGAATGATTTTGATAACATTGTGAATTCATCGTTGTTATGTTCTAAAATTTTTCTAGGTTTGTTAATTGATGAATCTGAATCTTCATTTAAATACTCAATTAGGTTTGTAAGATCTTCATATGATAGTTTACCAGTCTTGAAAGTTGTACTTAATTGTTTCTATTTAGCTGCTATTTATTCAAGAAAAAGAATGATTAGATTTATGACTGAATTGGATTCTCCATTTTTGTTTAATAGATTGTATAACACATTAACTGCTGCTTTATATCATAATGATGATTTAATTCGATATTCTTCTTTGTATTTTATTAGTTTGGTGGATTTAGAAATACTAGATAATGATAATATTCATGCTACTATCTCAAGTATAAGATTCATTCTGTCAAATTTAGACAATAACAGAATTTATAATATGTGTAAAGATGTTATCGGAACTCTTCTTAATACTTATGAATATGCTCGTGAAATAATGGTCAATTTAAATACAATTGAAATTAATAACATGTACTTAACATCTATTATGATTGATTATTATAAATTAAAAGACATTACTCACAGTCTAACACCTGACACCCTTATTAATGATAAAACTTCAATAACATTCTATGAAAATCTTTATAATGCAATCAATAATTATTTAGTAAAAAATGATCCCAAAGAAAATAAGAATAATGCAGTGTTTATCAGAATATTTAATTTGATTCAAAAGCTTAAGAGATTGTGTAAATTGAATATTTACCCT